CCACTTTTTAGTCTTATCAATAGTTGCCCAGATGTTCTTGTCACACTGGCCCAGCTGCTGACGTTAAAGAAGTATTCCCTCACACATCAAATTTCAAATAAAACATGGATGAATAAAATTATCTAACAAGAATAACACGATTTGAGGGATACAACCACTGATGGACTAATTTTGACACAAGACCCAGTGTGAAAAGCTTACTTTCAATACACAACTCGTGAACTTATTTTTACCCAATCCATAGTCGGAACCAGTGTGCCCTCCAATGGGACTGATATTATAGGAATTTAGAGTCAAAATGGATTCTCAAAAACCAAGTGGAGCCAGGTTTTGTTGATTGCTGGGGAGATTGGTATTCATGAATAAATTTAAAAAAATTGTTGTTTGTAATGTGTGAATGTTATATTTTTTTTGTTTGTTTATAATGTGGACACAAAAAGTCCATGCATGTTTTAGGCATGGAAGACATAAACACATTGAAGTTATGTACATATAAACCAATGTACCGGTATACACTTTTGCACGATACCAAAAATACTTGCATAATATGAAAGAAACTTTATTTCTTCAAATTCACCTCAAAAAAACATCAGCTGTTGAAATCTACATAACCCTGGCTTATATACAATCTTGTAAGTAAATGTGCATTACTTACAAAGATAGCCAAATACACAAAACTTCATGCAGGAACTCTGGCTCTAAGAGTGTTGAAAAAAAACAATTAAAAAATCATTTTGAATATTACCGTAGTCTTTTTAGACAAATTTATTTTTGTCTTGTTTTGGCTCACAATGAACAAGTACAAGACAGTGTTACTATGTACAAATACTTAACACAAAATTGAGCCAAATGAATAAAGATTGGGTCAACAATATTCAGACGAGCAGCAGCTGTTTACATTCTATGATCGGGACCAGTATGCCCTCTAACAGGACTTGCATTTATTAATTGAGCTCAATTACAAGTCAAAGGTTATGTAAAAAATGCATGCATAACATTTTCACATCATTGACAACAATATTTAAATATTCAAACTGCAATTGATATTTGGCTCAAACTGCCTGCCTGGTCAAAAAAGGTTTGAGAATATTAATTCATCAAATTACAGTACAGCAATTACTTGATAAATTAAAATATGCTAATATGCAAATTTAAACAGATAATCATTGCTTTCTTTACCAATCCTATTAACGTTCAAATCGACTGAAACGTAAACCATTGTATATTTTACAGTACTACAAGATCTAGTTTATTGGATCTAATTTTCAAAATATGACAAAGCTCAGCGATAGAGCCTCGCATCCACAATTGATTGGCTCTCCTGATTGGGCTAATATTATGAATATGTAATTATTCAATATGCTACAAATAATTTATCACAAAGTCAGCAATATTGCATCATAAAGCTTTTCAAATATCAAAACACAAAATATTTAAAGAATATAGATTTGTTCCCAAAATTTGAAACTCAAAGTCCATAAAATTTAAGCTGATACAAATGTTATACAAATATATGGTATAAACATTACTTAAAATAGCGACAGGTT